TCTTCACTTTAGCCTCAGGCAGAATTTTTGGACAAGAGCCAAAAGCAGCCACATTCTTCACCAAAATATCACAAGACTAATCAATCCCTAGGCCATATACTAACATGCTTCTTCTCAGAACCCTTTTGACCCCCACAGTCCAAATCACATTCAGCACCAATGTCTTCCATGCTCCTATGGGTATGACCCATTAAATAGTGCTTAAAGCATCCCACTGCTTTCCTAACCCAAAGTACAAAAGTCCAAATTCCTCCAAGCAAAAACATGGTCAGGCCTATCACAGCAATACCCTGGTCCCTGATACCAACTTCTGTCTTAGGGTTTCCTATACAAAGGCCATACCTACTCTAACAAAGCCACACCTCCTAGGAATGCCATTGCCTATGGCTGTCATTTTCTTTCAGACCACCACACACATCCACAGAAGAACATGTCTTTGGGGACATCCTGAAATCTGTGTATTGGGTCCTGATCAGACATACTTGGCTCGAGAATAAACTCTTGTTTCCTTTGTAGTGAGAGCTGTGTGTTTTAATGAACATGAAGGGGTTCATGATGAGGTTGGTGGTGTTATACAAAGGTTCTCCCCGATTCTCTCTCTGTGGCCATCTGCAAACTTAGAAGTCGGTCCTCACCAAGACCGGGACCATGTTGTGTCTCTTAGATTTCAGGCTTCAGAATGTGAGGCATAGTAGTTAGAAGTCTATATTAAAAGTGCTTTGTATTTTTTACTTCCCAGTATTTGACAGATACTATATAGTAAAACTCTGACTTTATTAACTACATTAACTCCTACCTGTCCCTGTTCTGGCCTTTGCTGTTTCTCACGTTGCCCTTGTCCACCAAAGTAGAAGTGAGTCAGGAGGAAGCCTGTGTCTCTGATGCCATTGGGCTGCCCATCCTCCACCTGGTTCTTCCCTGAGGATTGGTGTTTGGTTTTTCCAAGGGTGTCCTTCTCACCTGGGGTTCCTCAATTAACTAGGACTTCCCAGAACATTCTTGAGCCCTGGGTTTGTAGAGTTTGGACCAGCCTCCCCTCACGGTCAAGGCTATATCAAGGCTGGAGTA